GTGCTGGACTCCCATATGGCCAACTGTGGTTTGAGTCCCAAACCTGATGGCTTGCTTTCTCACTTTCTCTCTCTCTCTCTCTGTCCCTCTCTGGTCAAATTAAAATAAATAAATAAAATAAATTAAATTAAATAGTTCTTTTAAAAAAAGAAATAAGGAAGAGAAAAATGTCAAATATCATTTAGTAATTTCTTTTGTTTTTTGATTTTTTTTTTTTTTTTTGAGAGGTTTTTGCTACAGGGGCCGTCCGCGAGGTTTCTGCTACAGGGCACGTGCGCTCACCAGAAAAACAGAGACACAGAAAGCGAGAAATCACCCCCCAGGGAGGATGGCCACACCACAATCCCTTCTCCTCCATTCTCCTCTCATGATCTTGGGCACGCACACACATGCACCCGGCATGAGTTTAATCCGCCAGGTCCGGGACTCGAACTGCGGTCGGCTACATGGGAGTCCAGCGACATAGCCATTACGCTAACTGCTGGTAATTTTTAATTGCTCAAAAAACTTTTACTATTATAAAACATTACAATTTTACCAATTATTCATTAACATACTATAATGAAAGTGCCCCCAGATAGGACAACTAGTTATTTACAGTCCTGTTCTAGAACGTTTATAGAACTAGCAAAATGCAAATCTTGCGTATTCTCTGGAAGCTTACTCATGAGATACGCCATGTAGATTTGTACACTTACGGTCCAGAAAGAAGTCTAAAGTTGAAGCCCTGAGGCCAGGGATCCAGTGTTCCATTAAATCACATAATTAAGTCTATCTCTGCCAGTCTCTGGTCACACTGCTGAAGTCAACCTAACATGGTGGCTGGAGACCTCTCACTGACAAACCCCCCTCTCCCAAATAGCAGTGAGGACTGAGCTAAGGGAAGACGAGAAATCAGGCCTTCTCTTCTTCAAAGATGGGAAATAGAAGAAAGTTATAAACGACCTGGTGCCGTGGAGATGCCGTGAGGATTTGCCTACGCATCATCCTTTTTGTCCTCGGGATCCTTAAACTGATTCTTCTCCTGAAATTCACTAATTGGCACAGTGTCTCATGACACCCCTTCTTGGTCATCGGTCATACTCTTGTGTAAATGTGCACCTATCTTTTATTCTGGCCACTTAAGAACAGTTTAATTTACCAAGTTAATCAGGAAAATGTACTCATAAAACTGGAGAGGCATTAATCATTCTAGTGGGTATTTTCTAGTGGTTTTGAACATTAGCCTCTGAGGGCTCTCTTTAACATGCCCACACATACAGATACTCATCAACCCCTGGGCACTTGCGCAACCCCGCACCTGAACATTACTCACTTCTCCAGAGAGCATCACCTCTTGTTTGTAGAAATGCGAGATGCCAGTTCCGGCCCTCCCCAGGCAGAGCCATCCAGAATCATCGCAAGCCTTATTTTTTCACCTGGTAGAAAGGAGCTCAAGACAGTAACTCACTCAGAATGATTGTCACTTCATAGGGTTAAAAACAAAGCAAGGGACTTATTGTTCCATACAAGTTTCATGTCATTTATTTAGGTCAGTAATGCTCACATTTTCCCTTTCCTTACCCACTTTTTTTTTTTTTTTGTATTTTCATTTTACAATAATTTTTCTCTGTTTACTGCAGTAGTCAGGAGGTGAGATGAAAAGGGGGGCATGTTAATGAAGTTATGAATAGGATATATGTTCTAAACATCAATCACAACTTACAGGAGAAAACAGATATGGGAAATGAAGCAGACATGTCTTATTGAAGAACACTTCGCTGGAAAAATGGGCATTGTTTTGAGTTATGATGCCCCTTATTGCTTAATTCTCAGAGAGATATTTTTATTAATACATCTTTCTCTCACTTCCAATCTGAACAGTACTAGCTCAGAATTATCAATTGATAGCATCTTTTTGCTTAGGAAAAAACTGATTGCATGATCAACTGTGAAGATCTACCAAAAAACAAAACCTTGTTCCCCAGCTGTCACATCTGCTTTGCATATTAACTCACATGTTGAGTAAATGGCTAAGGAATTTGTAGTAATTTTTTTTCTTTCTTTCTTTCTTTTTTTTGGGGAGAGAGGTTTTTGCTATAGGGCGTGTGCGCTCGCCAGACAGAGACAGAGAGACAGAAAGTGAGAAATCACCCCCCCAGGGGAGATGGCCACGCTGCAATTCCTTCTCCTCCATTCTCCTCTTGGGATCTTGGGCACGCACGCACACACGCCCGGCGTGAGTTTAAGCCACCGGGTCCAGGACTCGAACCGCGGTCAACTATGTGGGAGTCCAGTGACATAGCCATTACACTAACTGCTGGTCCCATTTGTAGTAATTTTATTGTGTATATTTAAGCTGTAGAACATAAAGTGTGTGTACATATATATATACACACACACACAGTGAAATAATTACTGCAGTCAACCAAATTAGCACGTCCATTATCTCACACAGTTAATTTTGTGTGTGTGGCAAAAGTACTCACCATCTACTCTCCAAGCCAATTTCCAGTGTATAATACAATGCTATTCATTACAGTCCTCATGCTGTGTATTAGACCACTCCGTTTATTCATCCTACATAACTTCACTTGGTAGCCTTTGGCCCCCAACTTCCCATGTCTGCTTACACATGCTGTATTTAGGGCTATCAGTGTAGATGCTGATAGTGAATTCAGTGAAACAAATTAGTAAAACTAAATTACACGAAATAAATTTTGTAAGATGATGGAAGTCAGTGATACTTTTTTGTCACCTCATGGATGCTGTCTTACTGGTTCAGGAGCCAGGGTACCACTGTCAGGTGGTTGTAACAGTATCAGAACTCATTTTGCTGATCAAATGCAAAGCAAAACCAAGTGGACAAGTACTTAAGACAGTGGTTTCTTGGTGTCTACTTTAGAGAATTCTAATCTGTGCATGAGTCCAAGAATCAGTTGGGGTATTTCTTTTATTATGTTTCAAGGAATATTTCTTTTCATCTTATGACCTACATCAGAAACATACATCTGAGGTGCAGAGCAGTTCACAATGCAGCTTCGCGCTCAGCACCTCGTTTGGTTCCCACAGGACCTCTCTAAGGGTGATGTGGAGACCCCTGTTTCACAAAGAAGTTACCAAAAAGAGGAAAGAAGTGGTGCAAGGTCAAGGTCACAGAGCTGGTAAGTGGAGGACTCGGGATTTGAATCCAAATCATGACTCCGAATTACTACCAGCATGTTGTGTTGTTTCTCCCAGTCTGAGCTAATGTGATTATAACGGTAATAACTACTGAGGTAATTCAAGCAATTTATCTGGGGCCGAAATTACTCCGATAATTGACTGGGTATTTTTGGTTGCTTCGCAAATTGAGACATGACCTGAGTGTCACAGAGAAAAACAAAACAGAAAACTCCAAACCACATTTCTATTTTTATTTATTTTAAAGTTTATTGCTTTCTTTTGAGAAAGAGAAAAGAGAAGGAAACAGAGAAGCACCTCAACAGGGTCTCACAGCGCTTCCGATGCCCCACCCTCCAGCCAGCCAGGATCGCGGCAAGCGTGCTTGTGCCTGTCATGTGCGAGCTGGCCAGAGAACAGGGATCTTCCATACAGCATCCAGAACTGTGGAGTGACGTGCTACTGTTGCATCACCACGGTGGGGCCCAGAACTACACATCTGAAAAAGGAAATTTTATACCCTGTATTTCTCAAATCTATAATCTAGGAAATGTTTCTTGAGCAAGAGCCTCCAAAATGTTTGTGTTGGAGAATATAATCTCTCTCCTGAAATACAGACTTTATTAATACTTCATAGCTTGCTATATTTCACATTGCTTTCCTCGGGACTAAAGAGTCTAAAATACCAGAATCTTCTCCCTCGTGATGCACAAGATATACTTCTAATGATGTTAAAAAGCACATAGGGACCAGCAGTTAGCGTAATGGCTATGTCACTGGACTCCCATGTAGTCGACCACAGTTTGAGTCCCGGACCTGGTGGCTTAAACTCACGCTGGGTGTGTGTGCATGCCAAAGATCCCGAGAGGAAAATGGAGGAGAAGGGATTGCGGCATGGCCATTCCCCCTGGGGAGTGATTTCTCGCTTCCTGTCTCTTTCTCTCTGTCTTTCTGGTGAGCACACGCGCCCTATAGCAGAAACCTCTCCAAAAAAAAAAAAAAAAAAGCATATTAAACCTGTTCTTCTCAGGCTTATTTTCTAATTATTGACTTGAGGTGCGTATATCAATCTTACTAATATACCTGAATAAACATATGAGGTAGTTGCAGTATTATTATAGTACATACTAACTGAAACCTAGAGACGCAGATATCTTATTATATGAGGTCAGTTTTACGTGAAATCATTTCTTTTTTTAGAGAGATTTTTGCTATAGGGATGTGTTCTTGCTGGGTGAGACAGAGAGAGACAGAGACACAGAAGGTGAGAAATCAGCCCCTGGGGGATGGCCATGCCACACCGCCTTCTCCTCCATTCTCCTCTAGGGATTTTGGGCATGCACACATAAGCGCCAGGTGTGAGTTTTAAGCCATTGGGTCTGGGACTAGAACCACAGCTGACTACGTGTGAGTCTAGTGATGTAACCATCTGCTGGTCCCCATGTGAAACCATTTCTTAGGAAAGTGATCTATGAGTATTAGATGAGGGGATTTTCAAAAAGTCATGGGAAATATGTGTTACGGAAGCACAGGAAGTGGGTTTTAAAATTGTTCTGCACAAATAAATGTGCTCGAATTCTACTTTCACCCACTTTTTGAAGTACCCTTGCATTTGTGCTCCAGAGGTGCTGTCAAATATTTACCAATTACGGTTTGAATTCTACAAAGATACACAAAGTTCTTTGTTTACTGAAGAGTTAACCTAACATAGAAAATTTCTAAATGTAAATCCTTACTTTAAGTGGCTGGTCATGGCATGCCCTTATGGTCCCGGGTGGTCTAGAAAATATTTGCCTACTTGTATACTTCCGGCAGTAGGAAATTCTGTACCCTAATAAGTGTCAAAAGCATGTAACTAATTACAATTTAACCAAAAGTATTAATATTAAAATCAAAGGGGGTATAACTAGCAAGCGATTGAGGCGGAAAAAAGTTCATCAAAGGTAGAGACAGAAACATGGACTGTGATGAGTTCAAATCCCTGGACTTGTGGCTATGCTAACCAGCTTGTGTTCAGTTTAAAACCATTCAATAGATAATTATTTTCTGTTGAGTACTGGGAAATAGTGTAAGGTGCTGGGACTACAGGGTGTCTGAATGCTAGGAAACAGGGCATACTTAGACATTAGCAGCATTTTACTTACATTTTCAAATATGCTCAGTGTGTTTTTTTCAACCTCCAGAAATCTTTTGAGGTATCTAAAGTAATTGCATAATGTGAAAAAAATCACAATAAATGCACTGTATTTTCCTCTGTGGTTTTTCTGGACATTCTGTAGTATATAACAAATGAGTGGACCTGTGGCTTTGAACATACTAGACATATTATTTCAAAATGTAACTAGCATTCTATTTAAATTAAATGTATCCTTTGTTTCCTAACTTATCAAATACTCTAAACAAAGTTTATGTAAGCAGATTCCCAAGAAGTTCTAGTCTAACAGAAGGATATGGGGGGAAACCCCTGTACAGACTAAAAGTCATAATGGAGAATCCAGAAGCCATAGAAGTGGCTTCCTCCACAGCAAGAGATTTCCTATTGCTCTGGGGGAATGGAGAATAAGGTCAAAAAAAGCATTCACAGGGACCAGCAGTTAGCATAATGGCTATGTCGCTGGACTCCCATGTAGTCGACCGTGGATAGCGTCCCGGACCTGGTGGCTTAAGACTCATGCCGGGCGCGTGTACGTGCATGCCCAAGATCCCAAGAGGAGAACAGAGGAGAAGGGATTGCGGCATGGCCATCCCCCCAGGGGTGATTTCTCACTTTCTGTCTCTCTGTCTCTCTCTCTCTGGCGAGCGCACGCGCCCTATAGCAAAAACCTCTCAAAAAAAAAAAAAAAGCATTCACAGGTATAGTTCTATATGAGCAGGTTTGGGGCAACAAGTGAGCATTTACTAAGAGGACAGGTGAAAGAGGAATTCCATGTTGAAGATGGGCAAAACGCAAGAAAACAAAGGCAGAGGATGGCGCTAGACATTCAGAGGACTACAGCTTGGTTAGGATTGCCTCAGTGCGAGGCAGAGTTGTGGGTGATGAAAAGTAGACAGGTGATATAACGTAATATTTTTGTTTGTCTTAAATTATGAGTGCAATATTATCTTGTGGAGTTGATGGGGAATCAGCACATGATTTTAGGTAAAGGAACAACTTGCTCAGAGTTGTTGAGAAAAGGCAGTGCTTGGCATGGTTCTTGCACAGTGTTTCAATATCCCTATGATTGAAGGATAAGTTAGAACAGAAAAAAAAAATGTAGAAGTGAGGCTGTTACAAGTAGGAGAAATCTATTTGTTTAATGACAACATATGACTGACTATCGACACTCATTGCTGGACTGAGGGTGGAAAAACAGTGCCCTTATTATTTACTTTTTAGTACTGTAACTCTTCTATTTTCCAAAGCAAAAGTAGAAACTGTTCTAGAGTAATTCATCATATGCCTTTCATCTATTTCCTTCTCCTTTTTTATGCTGCTCAAATATCAAGGATGGAGTAGCCATGGGGTGGCCAAGAAGAGGCGCAGTGGACAATGGCAGTGTTAGGGAACATCCATCTTGCTTCTTCCTCTAGTCCACGCTTTCACTAATAGCATTGGGAGTTACCAATATCACAGAAAAACAAACCCAAGAGATCATCTGAAGGTGTTATTTCAGGAACTTCTATATTTTCTGCCAAGCCTCTTTCTTTTTTTTTTTTTTCCTTTTTCTTTTTAATAATAAAGGTCTTACCAGTTAACATTAGTAGAAATAAAATAATTGTTTCACCCTGTTTTCTCTACCTCTGGGAGAGAAACCAGATAACCAAATAATCAGAAGGCAAGCAGTTAGAAAGGAAGCTAAGCATAATCAAGATTTACTTGCACGTTTATATTAATTGTTGAATTATTTATATTCTTTGACTCCTTCTGGACTGACCAATGTGGTTTGGATGGTAAAATAGGACATTAGTCAAGGAACTGGGAGGAGGTGGTTTTTGGATCTCACTCTGCGATTCCTTGTGTCTTTGGACAAATCAATTCTTTGGTTTGACGGTATGTGGTTTTATCAACAGTTCTTAAGTTTGTCTTTGCAACAGATTCATCAGATGTGCTTTGAGTATATACAGATTCCCAGCTCTGATGGAGGGATATAGTGTCATGGTTGCCTGAAGACAGCCTCCACTGTCTGGGTTTAATGCCCTTTCCTACCATTTAGCTGGGTGACCTGCAGTAAGTTATCTCCAGTCTCTCACTGTTATGCAAAGCAGGGCTAACAGTAACAGAATCTACTTTATACTGTCCTGTGAGGATACAATTATATAATGCTTTCAAAATGGCAAGTACATTGCGTGTCACACACCAAGCATTCTACAGACGTCATAGGAGAGATAATTAATGGGAAATAGGTATTGAAAATACTGTGCTTGCACTTCAAAAGCACTTTTTTTGCACCAAAATAAACTCGTATTTTAATACACTATTCCCATGAACTTTTTGAAGTCCCCTCATATATTATCACTTGTATAGCCCACCGCAGGTATTGTGTGTGCGTGTGTGTGTGTGTGCAGGTGTGCACACCAGGGAGGTGATTCATAAATATTCATTGAATCAATAAAGTTTTTTTTTAAGCAACTTTTTCTTTTGTTCTCAGATCCGAATTTCTTATATGAGCCCCAGAATTAACTTCCCCAATCGAGGTAAAGCCAGTTTCAGAGAACTGTTTAAATATTGTGCTCAATCCTCCCCCTATGCTTACTCTTAGACTGAGAGGCTTGTGATAATTAAACAATAATTAAACGCCAAGTCTCCCTAGAATGGGTGAGCCGAGAGGGAACAGGAATGAGCCTCAGGGACTGCAGCCGAATCTAGCCTGGCACGTTGTAATACGGTGACCTTCACCTAGGTGCGCATCTCCATTTTATCTCACAAGAAGCCGTGAAATTCTCAAAGTCGTTATCATTACAATTGATGCTGAGTCACATAAAAAAGCAATATTTCATTTTCCGTGTTGTCGACCAAGCAGAAAACAAGACAACGTAACTTTCTAAAAGCTTGATAATCATTGCTATGAAAAATAGAGAGCGAATTTCTAGCCCCCATTAACCCGTTTATCAAAACAATCTACGCACAGTAAACTGTGTTTTGCGGGGGTGAGGTGCAGTGGTAACCCCCGTCAAATACTCAGCTTGCGGTTCTCCCCAGTGTATGAAGTGAGGAGTTCCCAGCTTAGTCCCGGTAGGGAGGAAATCGCGTCGGAATCTCAGGAGGTGGCCTCCTAGAAAGATCGCTGGGAGGGGAGGAGTCCTGATTGTCCTGGAAGAAAAGCATGGCCCCATCCGGGAAGTCACTGCTCGCCGGGAGGCTGGGTGGGCGGCCCTGGGTCCCGGAGGTGGCAGGCGCCGCAGCACCGGCCCGGGAGCGGGGCCTGCGCGCCGAGGCGGTGGGGCTCGGGCTGTGCCGGGGGAGCGCACGGCGGGGTGGAGAGCGTGGGCGCCGGCCTC